TCATATTTTTCGACAAGAAAACAAGATCGGTACGCGAAATTTGACGTTTTACACCAGACGTCGATGCACCCTGAACTTGTTCCGCGTCCATCGCTAAAGCTTTGTTTTTTATGAGAAGCACTGCCCTGGATGTGCTTTAGACAAGTATTCTTTCTAGACAATTCTATTTCTACATAAATTTACACAAGTATTTTATTAACTTTGCCAAATACATAATACCCCTCGTGTGAAAATTTTTTATTACGGTCAAATACTGTTACATCCATTATTACTACACACGTCTGGCATGTTTAGCCTTTAGCTAAAGCATCACGTTTATTTATCTGTGGCAATATTACGATACATATCGCTTGTGTCACTACATATATTGAATACCTACTATATATATAGTAAATTTGCAATACATCTCGCCAACTGCAGTATATATAGTGATTCTCACTATACTTATCGCACAAATGTGTAGTAATCGATTCTATTAGTTTGTTGATTATGTGGAGAAATACGTTATTTTCATGATTATTTCGCGGATTTACGAAAATAAATCAATTTCGCAAGATAAATGGATTTCGCGAAAATTACGTGATTTTGCGCGCCGCGGAAGACATTTATTTCTACGATGCGATGTTGCGAATAACATTAGGAAGTTGTTTTTTACGGGAATATTTTTTCATGAAATTACAAATGCATTATGTATAAACGTAACTCTAATTAATAAATATGTATGCCCAGAAAGTTAGAAAAAGACAACACAAAATAAAGGAAACCCTATTCACAGTACTATCAATCACAATATTCAAGACGTACATGAGAAAGTAATTTCACTGTTGTTCAAGAGAAAGATATCTTTGGTAGTTCGCACGCCCACCACTGTGCCACAAGTGCATATTGATAGATGTTATTTTGTGAAACATGTTACTGTGGTTTTGCTTTCTCATGTCACATTACTATCTGTGGAACAGTATTCACGCAATGTAAATTTGTAAACATTGCAGCATATTAACAAATTTTCTTTCACAGATGTTTTGCAGGGGAGAAATTAAATCTGAATTTATTACGTTTGTACAGAATAATGACTTAACAATATTTACAGGAATACAAAAATTCAGTGTGGCCTATACTTAAAATATTAATTATTACTAATTTTTCATCAAAAACTTATGGTGTAGCCTATACATGCCAAAATATGGTATGTATGAAGTAAAAAAAAACATGTCAAGTATATTTGCACTTTACAGTAAAAAAGTTCTCATTACCAAGAAACAGTTTATTGCATTGGAGTATGAACTGGCAGAGTTGCATGTTGATATTTGGCGTACAACAAGCATGCAACATCATTACACAGCTGGCTGCAAATAAAAGAAAAATAAATCAAATTTACAGTTAAGCCTGTTGTAATTTTGGTTTTACTGTCATACCTTTGAGCAAGAAATGCTGCTTAGTATGCAGTGGTCTTTGTCATAATGAAACCTGTAGGGGTGTGATATTTCGGGCATGGGATGTCACATTTAAGAAAGTGATGAGCATAATTGTTTCCCAGTTATTTCACATGTCTGGAATCACTTGAATTTGCAATCACAAATGCTATGTACATTGTAATTATTGTGAAGCACAATGGTGTATCCAAAAGCACTCCCAACCCAAAATAAACACTTCACGGAAAAATTTATTTTTCCTCTTCACAAATTTCAGAATTATTTGCTCTCTCTAACACACAACTATTATCTTGACATGTGGCGCCTCAGCTGGCTGTCGAGGGTATGTTTTTGGTGGGAGCTAAGCGGGCAATGGGAAAATCCACTGACCCACCTACTCGAACATGAACACATCCACCAAGCTGCCCTGGCACGAGTGGGTGCGGCCAGGGAGTCACATGAGACCTACATCCAGAAAAAGTATCCACAGCCCATAACAGGCACTAGGGCATTTGCCATGGGGGAAAGCTTGTTGCTTTGCCCCCACCCCCTCAGCAAGACTAGTAACCAGTTTAGTGCTGGCCAAGCCGGAAAATGGGAAGGCCGTCATAAAGTGGTTGGCCGTTTTGAGAACGTATTGGGTGGAGGATCTCCGCGGTTGCTTCACCAAAATTACACGGGGACAAATTTAACCTTTCCCTCATGAGGCTGTCTACTTTCAAAGGGACCTCACCGCCTCAATTGCTACAGAAGCACCCGGCAACGTGGAAAGCAACCCCACAACGGCCGCCACGTAAACACACAAAAGTCCTAATCAAGCAGTCATATGCATCGGATACCGAGAGCAGTGAGGACAGCTACTGTCCTCTAGCCCGGACCAGGGGACTGCAGAAAGCAGTCCTATCAATGACACCGTTGTTACCGTCCACCCCCACTGAATTCAAGCCGAAAGTGGAAACCCGAAAAGGGGGATGGACACCTAGCGCCAGTTAGATCGGCAAGCCTAGTTCTAAAGGAGAGCAAAAACTCTGACATCATGCCAAAAACACACTCCAAGCTCAGGCCCCACTCAGCGAATCTGGCACCACCGGCCACAACCCACCAAAACTGAAAGGAACCAGCTATGGCGTTTAGCGGCTTGATGGACCCGGAAACAACGCTATCGCCAAAGGAAGGTCAAGTCAGAAGTCCTCCTTCAGACCAGACCATGTTAAAGGCCTTAATCGAGCTGGTACCCTCAGTCACCCCATACCTGGACGGAACGCGGAATCTGCCAACCTCCGGGCTTTCCCATGTGGAGACCACTAGGACCAGGGATAACAGTCTCCCGCCGCCGCGAGTGCAGCATCACTATTACCTGAACCAGGAAAAGTGAATCCGCCACGTGCCGGAGGGGTAGAAGAAGAATACCTGCCACAGTGCCTACCCCAGATGGCCACCAAAGTCCCGGTGTCGCCTGCCGCTGAGGTTGACCCCAGGACCCTTCTTCTTCAGCTGGAGGGGCAGACGAAGAAACCATGCCGCATAAACTGCCCCAGACGGCTGCTGAAGTCCCGGGGTCGTCTTCTGCTGAGGCTGACACCTGGGACCAGTCTCCTGAATGAGGGTGTGTTCACCACCATATCGACAAGGGGGGGTTGAGGGGTGCACCTGCCAAGCCTCCAAACACAAGTCAGCCAGCCAAGGGGGCAGTAGTATCACGTGAACTTCTGCCTTTGGCTGCTGCACCTCTGGTAGCAGATCCGGATGACTGGGATGCCGACCCCCTCTGGCACCTGTCTGTCTGCCCCAGACCGAGGCCGAGGACAAACCCACGACGCAGCCCCAGCTTCAGCCGAGGTTACAGCCACCACAGGCCTGCTGGGGCGACTCTACGCCAGGCCGATCCCGCATCACCCCCTGGAGGCCAACCGTCTGATATACCTGGCCTTACCCGCTACACGCTGCCCCAAGGAATGACTGTACATAATGTTCCAAATTTATTGGATTTGCAGTTGATGCAAGTGTAAAAGGATTGTGTAACGTTTTCTAGCAATCCCCTGTGTATAATGTTGAATTATTGTAAATAGTCATATTTCACAAATTTGCTGTTAATACAAGTTAAAGAAGTTGTTGAAAATTCTCTATTAGGGTCCTATGTGTAAAAGTAACTTTCAAAGTTCTTGTAAATAATGTTTGAAGGTGTTCATTTAGTCAAGTTACTGAAATGCAGTTTCTACAGGAAGTTGTTAAAATCTTCCTTTGTGTATTTAAATTTTGTAAATAATTAATATGTGTTGCCCAGAAATTTACAACTCGAAGACCGTGAGTAAGCCAGTAAAAGCATTGTGAATTGTTTTCTTTGCCAAAGTGTAGGTACTGTGTTGTATATCAAGTGTAATGGTGTAATGCAAATATTTTAGAAAGTGACCAACGCGAGATAGTTTAACAAGATATCAAGAATGTTGTGACATGAAGTTTTCTTCCTTACGAATATGGATAAATTTATTCAGAGTGCTTATGTGTTGAAGTGATTTTGTGTGTCTCTTCTCTATATCGATGTATGACGGTAAGGTACGTCTTTGTATATAGCGAATACCCCACTTGCAACACACTCACATTCCCGAAGCTTAGTGCTCAGACGAGATGATGGAAGGTCTGACTGGCAAGTCCCATAGCTTTTTCAGTGTGAAAGTTTATGTTGTGCTAAGATAGGGAGACCAAGGGCACTGTTGAATTTCTTTTCCTTCCCCACCAGGTGGCCATAGCAGTAGCCAGGAACACGTGCTTTTGTGACTGGGGCTTAGGCATATTTGTATTTTATATAATCTATTTTATAAAGGATTCTCCAAGGGTCACATTTTATTTTGTGTGCTGGCCACCATGTCTTGGGAGAAGCATGCGTGTCACGTTGTGCACACAGCTCTCCTCCTTTTCGCTCACTTGGGTTCGGTTGTGAAATTTGGTGGTCAGGCGAGCTATTACTTCCTCGCCAGTGGTATGTTGTGCTCTCTGAATTCTCGTTCGCATTCTCTCACGAACGCCATTGGGTCTTCGAGAGGTCTTCCTCCAAACTCTGGCAGTTGGAGTTCCGTGATGCCCCGGTCCGTGTCAGGACTCTGGCAATGGCCAGTATTAGGTTGTCTGTAATGTTCTGCGTGCCTGCAGACTTCGCGATGATACACCAGGCCCGTCCTCATGATTAGTTTGTTGGGCCATCCAATGCATGTGTGATGGAAATTCTGGGTGCAGACTATACACCTTGCTATGTGAATCTCCTGCCCTTTGCAGGTTAACCAGCTGCAGTAGGCAGTCTGGCAAGTTCTGCACTCGTTACACTGGTATTACAGCCAGTCTGTGTAACGAGGCTTGTCTGCGCACCCTAAGCATGGATAGTTGAAGTGGTTGTGACAGTGCGCACATGGGCCCCCCGTGCCAGGGCGTGTGGTTACATGGCAACTGTCGAGCATTACATCATCTATGTTGGCTTATAATTTGTCGGTGAGACACTGTTCTAGCCCAACATTGTGGTTGAATTGACTGGGTGGTTGAGCACCACAGGGTGTTTTTTTGGACTCCCGAAGTCCGTTTGTGTTGAAATTTGAAGATGCGTGGCTAGCTCAGTTGGTAGAGCACAAGACTTAATCTCGTGGGCATGGGTTCGAGCTGCAAATTGGGTGCCACGAAAACCCTTGACGCATGACTGTCTTGGGCTGAGATGGTTTGCAATGGTCAATTAAAGTTTGTTCATGTCGCCGGTCACACGAGATAAGTGAGATCCTAAACATAGTGCTGGTGGACTGGAACACGACCTGTGTAGAGAGTAGGGCATGTGGCCTGCCTACTCAGTACGAAGTCTGATAACACTGTCACGGCCTGGCGGAGGGGGAAGGGGGGTACACTGCCACGGTTTCACCTTTTTGGACGGTGGCTCAGGGTGGCTACTGTCCCAGCTGCGATGACTGTGGGTGGCTGCTGCTGCTGACTCCGGAACGTGGTGCACCGGTGATGCTGGAGGTAGCCAGGGGTGGGCTGTTGCTGGTGGTGGTCTGGTAGCCCTGAACCAGAAGTTGGCAATTCCGCCAGGGATGTCCTTGCGCCGGCAGCTGGTTGCTACCAGTGGATGCGGTTTTCAGGCCGTCTTGAGTGCTGGAAATAAGTGTGGGGAAGGAGCTGGGAAGTGTGGCCTCTCTAGCTTGCGAACGCAAGAGCTCATTCCTGTAGGGTTAAGCTGTGAAGTGCAATTATGATGGGGTTTTGCAACTCCACTTAGTGTTGGAGTTGGTAACTTCCGTTCTCACTTTCCACCAAATACCCTTTCTCTGAGTATAGGGCATAAAGGAAAGGACCTACTACTGGTCTTGACAAGGTGAAGTAGGTGTCGGAAGTCCCAAATGGTATTCAGACAATGGCAGAAGCGGAATAGGTAAGAATCGTACCCGGTGCTCCTTTGTCCAGTACTGTTAAGCGCAGTGGATACGGAGCATTGGGTTTTCTCAGCTGCTCAAGGAGACTTGGGTGTGGTTTCCAAAAGTGGTCAGTCTTCCAGAACCAAACTCTTACTCCCTCCGGCACAGTTCAGTGCTGTGGACGGAGTATAGGCTGGTCTGGTTGGCTAGCCACCTTAGGGAGGTCTTGCTAGTGGTGGAGGCTCTACCGTGCTATACCCCGGAGGTACAACATGGGTGGTCATCCAATGGGTGTGTGTTGTAAAATTGGTAGTCTCCTCCTGCTTCGCTTCGAAGAACTCATTGCTACGTAGGGTAAAACTGTAACTCAATGAAATAATACTCAGCAATAAGTGTGAATACGTGTATATTCTCAGTAGAATATACACGGTGGCTCGTACTACCTTTTAACTATTGCAGAGTTGAATGGAAATCCCTATGTGAATCCAAGTAGAGACTTGGTTCGGAACTATAAAAAGGTGATCCGGCTAGGTAGCTATCAAACTTGCTCTAACTAAACTCAGTTGTCCAGAAGGGACTGTTGACCACCACTACCAGAGGTGGTAGTGGTGAGGTATTGCAGTTACCAGCATATAGGCAAGCGTAAGGTGTCCTAAAGGGTCCTTAGACGACTGTTGGAGATTAGTATCAGCGCAATCGTCGTTAACATCAGGTAATGCAAGAGGGTTGATGACGCCTTTAGAGCTGTTCTCAAAGAGTTACCATAAAGTCTGGAAGGCATTCTTGCAGTCGCTGAAGATCTTCTGGTGGGTCGTGAGGACCTGGTGACTTCTTCCAGCACAGTTTAGCACAGTGGAAGGAACAAGGCGTACTGCTCATAGAGCGAGCCAATGATTAGGCTTCCTCCGGCACAGTTCAGTGTGGTGAGGAAGCGAGGAGTACTGAAGATCTTTGGGCAGTGCATGAACTTACATACTCCTTGTCTGCGGGCCCTTGTTGGCGAGGGGTGCAGGGGTGGCAATCGCTACCCCTCAAGTTATCTGCTGGAGTAGTCTGCTAGTATCATCTGCTACTTCATTTTCTGCTGAGGCAAAACACGTTAGCTTTTATACTTGTGGTGCCATCTCTTGGCACGCCGTAGAACTACGTGACCTTGGGTGGCAGGCTTGACTGCTCTGCGGATAGTAATATCTCACTTCAGGGAGTTTGACGTGACCTGAGATTAAAAGTGTGGAGCGAACAGTAAAAGCTAGATAGTCTGTAATAACGCTCCTTATTGCAAGGGCCTATCCTGTGGGCACGTGACCAACCTCTAGTACTGTTGTAACCCCTGCCCTGCCTTAGTGAAGTGAAAGCACGTTCAGACAAGGCAAAGTCGTGTTTGCAGTAAATGCAGACAAGTCTTCATGTATCAACACAAAAATCATAATTCTATAGATTTCATTATTTATTAATGGTTTAATTTCGGAGCATACTTTTTAAGTTTAGTAAGCTAAAAATCATTTTGTAAAAATTGTATACTGCACTTGGAGTTTTAGGTATTATTTGTGTTGGAATGTTTTGTTGTGTGATGAGTTGAATGATAGTCATTTCTCGTATATATAATGAAATTTAAATATTTTACTGGTAACTATTAGACTTTAAAATTTTTTGTATTAATCAAAAAGTTTACTATTCAATACAAAAATATTTGAACATAAAAATCCACTATTCACATACCCCTACTTACAGCAGACATGTTTGATTAGAATACAATATAGTAGTTAGTTATGCTGTATTTTGTGACTACAGGGCCACTGTCCATGTTTGTACTGTACGTGTTGTTTCATTAGTGAAGTGCGAGTGACATGTTTGTGGCTTGTGACTAGGTGAACAAGATGAGCCTTGAGGAGCATGCGGATGAAAATGACTCCTGCAAATTCTTGATTCGCTCAACGGATCCTCGCTCGCACAACGTTGGCTTCTTGTGTCAAGCTCCTACGAGAGAAAGCCGTGATGAGTGGGTTTCGACAATACGCAAAATACTTCAGACTCAAAAAGACTTTTTGAAAGCTATTCAGTCTCCGATCGCTTATCAAAAGGCTAAGAGGTGTAAGTATATTGAATACATCACATCACATCAAATCACCACTGACTTCTGTGGTTGGCAATACAAGTGTTCAAGCAGTATAAGTTCCAGTATTTTACACAAAACTTGTAAACAGGTTGCACACGACTTTCTTGTGGCAGTGAGGCAATGGTGTAAGTGATATCTACGTCCATTTCATTGCAGCAGACACAAGACTTGCTAACAGATTGTTATTTTCAGAATTTTCATAATTCCAGTGTGTGTGAACGCAAGGCACAAGTTTGAGAGAAAATGTCAGCCATGTACCGGACAATAATTATGTATGTAGTTATTGCGATTGCCCAAATACTGCTCTATTTTATTACTGTGGCATGATGATTTGAGAGAATAAAAATAAGGAAACCCCATAAAATTGGGGAACTAATTTGTTTATGTAAGTATTGTGTATAATATTGCGTTTGTAAAAAATATTTATAGTATTCCGCTAGCTCTCACACCTGTAAAAGCACTGTCGAACTCTATCTTTACTTCACATTAATTAGGTTTTTTATCAAGAACGTAGCTTTTAGGTGTAAAAGTGTTACCATCAGCTTCTACATACACAACCAAAGAAGATAAGTTTTATTAAAATGACAGATTTAGTGAATATGGTGATAGTGTAATACATACATAATTTTGTTTCACGAGAATGAAAGTTGGTAACAGTCCATAACTGTGAGAGATTTCCGCATCCAGAGTTTACAAGAAATTGAATATTTTCAGTAGCATCTTCCAACAGTCGTGAAATGCTAGGCACCTTCATTGTTGTTGACCTTGGGACAGTTTCTGTAACTTTTCTACCTTGAATCAGCAGTCAAGGGAAATAGTTGGAGCTGGGCTGAGCTCCTTTTTTTTTATCATTCTGTACTTATAATTTGTTACTGATCTTTTTAAATTCCTGAGCCAGTTCAGTAGATCTCTGTATTGGTTTGATTTTGACATTAATGTATTTTTTGTTATTAGAGAAATAATGCAGTTCACAAATAAATGAGAAATTATGGGAGAAAAAATTTGGGGGGGGGGGGGGGATACTGAAAGATAGGATAGCTCGTACAGATTATTGCAAAAATTTATTCATTTGCAACTGACTCATTTCTAAGATCTTGAAACCTTAATTGTACGTTTGTGAGTCCTTTCATTAAAGCACACTTTGTACACCCTTAGCACACAGTGAAGAAAATTCTTGATTTTTATTGAAAAATTTACAAAATATGTTTATGTATATTAAACTGTATTTCTCTATAATCATATTCTGCAAAATTTAAAAACTATGCAACATAATACAGAAACATTGTTGCAATTCACTGGGCTACCTGCTGACTACACAAATACAGTGTCATTGATAGAGACCTGAAAATTGAGCAAATGCGATAAAGCGACAAATAACGTGAATTTTTTACACAGAAAATAAAAGGAAAATTAAGATTTTGGAAAATTTTAGCTCTAATTCACAAATAGTATAAAATCCTGTAGTATTTTCGCAAATTATTGTTTTATGTCATAGTTGGTTTTTAGGATGTATTTGATGTGTTTTTGCATATTCAAATACGAATGAATGCGAAGTTAGCCAGTAGATTTCTTTGATTTATCACCATAAACTGAAACATGTTTTACTTTCCATCACGTGGGTTTACAGCCATAGATGAACGCAAATGATGAGTGACTATGAGTGAACATTCTAGTGAACGGCCCTGCAAAAGTTCATTTGTTCATTAGGAAAACCCGCCATTGCAGTGTTCACGTGTACCAAGCACCATATCATCTATGGAATTTGTGCCAACTAGCTCGCTGAGTTTGTTTACATTAATAGCATCGTCACTTTTTATCCAACAATTTAATTTTTTATTTTTGACAAAGCAGCATTGCAGTGAAAAATGTGTTCATATACATTTACTTATGTAGAATATATCTGTAAATTGATTCATCATGTATTTTAATCGTGTATTCTTGCAGCTAACTGAATTTTTTATCATACATATTCTCTGTAAATATGTGCGGTAAAAAAATTACACGTTTTGAACAAACAAAAGTTTTGTCAGCGGGTCTAACGAAAAAATCTGTGGTTGAAAGTTTAGATATTTCAAAAACAGAAAGGTCAATTTCTGTAATTTTTATTTTCTGTTTGTACAAGGCAGTTGTATTATTTTTTCAAACAGTGCTTTCA